CTAGATTTCTTACAACACGCGCAAAGCTTCCTGGGATAGCATCATTACACTGACACCGCCATATTTTTGAATCGCCTACAAACAGTCGCTTTTTAAGCGAAGTTAATACATTTTAAAGAATATGAAACATCAAGGATGACTGAGACGAATTTGGGACCGGTCTGAAATTGGTCCTTTTTCGCCTGTTTACACGCGAATTCGTCCTGTTAGGGGGTCACAAAATTCGTCCGGTTCCGTGGTTCTTGTGTGTTTACACGACCAAAAGGGACGAATTTCAGACCGGTCCCAAATTCGTACGGTACCGTGTAAACGGGGTCTGAGTAATATTCAGGTAAGGATATTGTTATTGTTTTATACATAATAGAGCAATTTGGAAAGGAAATATTTACTAATTTCATTCGTGAATTTCGAGCGTGTGTTCCGGCTTAAAATGTGAATATTTGCCGCGACAATATTTGAATTAAAACGATATAGGCTAAATACATTTTTATACAAAGGCTTACATTTGACCAGCCTTTAAATGAAATTATATTTATTGTAAATGCCAAATAGTATAGAACTTTGTGTATATGACAAATTGCCAGATTCCAGTGTTTCTTGTATAAAATAATATAGATGCCTACTCATATGCCTACCTATAGGTATGTCCCAGCCCCCAGGTAAACATGCTTTGAGAGAATTTATCAACTTTTTCAAATCAACTGCTACTTTAGGGTGTTGATGTTTTTTTTAATTACAAATTTGACTCCAATGAGCACAATTTTCAGGACATTGTTGAATAACATCTTGCCTGATGCTGGACAATTTTATTCATCAGGGGAAGTGTCTATAGCTAGACTCTTCCCATGTTTCATGTTATTGTTGACATATTTTTAAAGATGGAATTTTCACTGCATCACCTTTTAACACCTACGAAGCAATTTTCTTTTATGTTACCTACTTCAAGTTCTTTGTAGGGGTGTGCAGGATAGAGTCGTTTTGCTATCCAGCCAGATACAGGATATATGTTGAATAGTCGAAAAATATCCAGCCAGATTCAGGGTATTATAGGGGCCTATTACATGGACCAGGCTAGCCCGGCAAACCTGGCTAGCCCGATTACTATAATAATCTCATATAACGACGATTATAAATTCAAGTATTAAAACTTTTCAATATAATGAGCTTACTTCAGCCCAGTTAACCGGACAGGCACACTACATGTAATTGTAAATTAAAAGTCATCTTGCTCAGCTGTCCGGTCCATGTAATTGGCCCCTTATTCAAATATATAAGGTCCAGGCCTCAATCAAGGTTAAGTAATCATTTTAATTGGTAAAAAAGTGATGGTGTTATAATAATACTTTGATTTGAAATAATAGGAATTACTTTCAGATTCTAACACTGGTAAACATGCATCATTGGTGGTAAAAGCCTCACTTGCATTAGTTCAAAGGGCAAACCTGCATTTACAAAAAATTGAAAATAGTGTAAGCATTCCTGTGATCAATCATTGAATAAAAATATGATAAACACCCCAACTTTTTTAACCTAATCAAATCATTTTCTAACTTGTAAAGAAGGCCTGAACCTTATATAAATAATATCCAGCATTGAGCGGCCAGGTTCCATAAAATGAAGTAAAAACTCGGTATCTGGCCAGATATGATATCCATTGCATCCCTAGTTATTTGTTATGTTTCTTTGTTTTAAAATGCCAAGTTTACAACTTAATTACTTGTTAAGGAGAGAGTGCTGGATATACGTATATGAGATGACTGTATATTGGTATTCAATTTTCTTATTTAATTAAATATATATGCACCATTTGTACCCTTTTATAGTTAACCCTCAGATGTATAATGGCTTCCCTTCCACATGGACTGGGAGACAGACAGACAGACAGACAGACAGACAGACAGACAGACAGACAGACAGACAGACAGACAGACAGACAGACAGACAGACAGACAGACAGACAGACAGACAGACAGACAGACAGACACCACCAAAACAAGACAGGCAAGTTTTTTTGCGATTGTTCATGTAAGTTTACTAATATTTTTCTTTGTGATGTAGGTTAACCCATTGAGATCCATTGCGCCCAGCTTTATTATTTTACTTTCTCTAATGCCATACGATTTACTTGTCAAGGGGAGAGCTCTGGCGCTTAATGGGTTAAGCATTATTTATGTTTTTAAACTCTGTAATGCTGTCATGCAATGCCATTGTCAACCAATTGAATCATACTGTACCATACTATTAGCATTAATGGTGCCAAGATGTGATGGTCTTAACTCTTTAATAATTCAACACACAAGTGGGTGTCGAAACATTAAATTATAACTGTATGAAGCCACCTGTAAATGATTACTTGAACTATAACATGTTCCTAGTTTGCAGCATTCAGCTTTGTTATCCATATAATTGCCTGAATACAGTAGTGCTTTAATTTGCAAAATTGTCCATTTTTGAGTAACTATATGCAGGGGTGTGGTTTAATTATTACAGTAGTTATATATAGTGTATAGTAGTTTGATTAAATTAAATTTACCACGTCTGACCCCAGGCCCAGGCCTAGAGCAAGTGTCATTTGTGTATTCAAGTTTGATTCAACGTAAAAAGAGAATTAATTTGAAACCTCTCTGCCATTGTGGTAATTAATTGTCAGTATTGAAGGTTTCAAACCAAAAGTTGAGTAGTGTAATTAACTGTTCTAGTAAGAATGGTGTCAGATTAATATTTATAATTGTGAAATAATACTATGCCCTGATTAATAAATGCAATATATTTTGTAGGGAACTGATGATGTGAACCGCAACAGTCTCACCTGCAATCCTTTTGTGTGGTACCTCTGTGTTTGATACTTTGGTTATATGTATGTTGTTGGGAAAGAAAAAGTGCTGTGTGACGCTTTATGTGAATTTAAACATTTAGACTATCCAAATCTGTTACTTTTCGTCCAATACACGTACAATTTGGACTTATATATAGTCCAGAGAAGTGCAATGATATTTTTGGAGAAAGAGAGAAATCAACCTTAAGTTTGCAATGAACTCTAGTAACCAAATCCCGCTTAGTGTTACTCAAGTTTTTACTCTGTTGGGTCAGTGAAGGATTAAGACTTTAATGCATTCTCTTTACGTCTATGCTTGTATATAATTAGCATTTAGTGACGTATTAAATCCATTTTTTAAAAGGAGAGATTTGTCTGTTTAAATACGTCCCATCTTATTTTCTGCACTGAAGGCTATGTTACACGAAACGATATTGAACGACCATTTATTGATTTGTAAATGTTAGAAATCATTTACATATCATATCGTACCTAAATCTCGTGATGATGTGTAACAGCTTAAGACAAAATTTTTACAGAGAGTTTTGGATAGCTGAAACGACCCTTTTGAATAGCTGAAACGACCATTTGAATAGCTGAAGCGACCCTTTTGAATAGATGAAACTACCCTTGGTTTAAGCTATTCAAAAGGGTGGTTTCAGCTATTTAAAAAGGGTGGTTACCCTTTTTGAATAGCTGAAACCACCCTTTTGAATAGCTGAAACCATGCACCCTTTTGAATAGCTGAAACCACCTTTATGAATAGCTGAAACGACCCTTTTTGAATAGCTGAAGCGACCCTTTTGAATAGCTGAAACGACCCTTTTGAATAGCTGAAACGACCCTTTTGAATAGCTGAAACGACCCTTTTGAATAGCTGAAACGACCCTTTCGAATAGCTGAAACGACCTTTTCGAAGGATAACGTTCCTACCCTTTGAGGAGTTAAAACTACCCTCTGAAAAGGGTAGAATCTACCATTTCGAAGAGTAAGCGCCGAAGGGAATGAAACGACCCTTTTGAAAGGGTAGTCCTGGGGTCAAAAAAACTACTCCTTTTAAGGGGTCAAAACTACTCTTTTGAATTTACAGTGTGCATGCACATATAGCTAGGAAGAACAAGGCACAGGACAAGGGCACTGTCAATTGCAGTTGTTCGAAAAACGCAATATGCCCACTTCAGAAACAATCAGGGACTGCGGAGACGGGGGGGCTGGGGGGGCTTTAGCCCCCCCACTTTTTTTGACAGCCAAAATTATTAAAATAGAAATCTAAATGAAACTTTCTAAATTAATTAAACCTCACCCTTTAGCCCCCCCACTCTCTAATACGCTCCGCGGGCCCTGACAATGCATGACTAAGGACATAGTATACAAAGCAACAGTCACAACAAGCAACCCTAATACGATCATGAATTATATTGGCATGACATCAACTACGTACATTTAAAGAGCGTTTGGCTAACCATAACTATACTTTCGAGCATAAAGAGCACTCAAACAAACTGAACTTTCGAAATATATTAATTTGGACATTGAAAGATAACAAGAAAAATTTTAATATCAATTGCCAAAGTTTGAAACGCGCTATTTCGTATACGGGAGGATCAAAACGATATAATTTATGTTTAGAGGAAAAATGTTGTATTTTATAATAAAACCGAAACTGTTTACTCAATAAAAGAATTGAAATTATATCTACGTGCAGATATAAGAAGAAATTTCGCGTAAACAATGCAAACAATACATAGTAATCCACACACTCCCGCAATTCGATTAGGTATTTCCGCGTAAACAACGCATATACAATAGATTGAATGCATGCTTTGTTTAACCCACCTCCATGTTTTGGCAAAAACACATTTAAGCAGCCCTATTTTTGAAACTTGTCATACTGCCTGATGATTTTTACTAATGAAACAGATATAAGATATATATATATATATATATATATATATATATATATATATATATATATATATATAGGCTAATTTAAGATTTGGTTTCGTTGGTTATAAAAACTTTTGGTAAAGCGCTCAATGGAAAACCAGAGTATATTTAAATTAAGGTAAAACAATCAACAAAATCCACTAGGCATCTTTATTACTAAATAGCTTCGTACCACAAGATGTGGCACTCTTCAGATAAATTCACCTAATGACTATAGACTAAAACTTACAAGGTTATATATGTATTCAAGTGGATGATATGAGACTTTAAAAAACTTAATCCTATTTACAAACCACACGATTTAATTAACATGTTATGTGATAAGCTGACAGGACGCGGAAAGATTAACAAAGATAAGATTAAGGTAAGATTATAAGATTATATATACCGGGTGTCCCAAAAAAAGTACTCCGGTTTGATTTTAAATAACTTCTAAACAAGTATAGCTATCAAACAGAAATAACTGCATTAAATAGAGGAAGGACTAACTTAGATTTTGATATATAACAGTTGTATTTTACTTAGAAATTCACGGAGATATGAATGTTCAAAATCGGAAGCGTATTTTGGGATGTGTCTAAAATTAACGGAAATCGGCATATCAAATATTATTATTATTATTATTATTATTAATGTTAAACACTCCCAGAAGGGTTTTTCAGTGTTCAATACAGAAGTTATAAAAGTAATTACTTAATTAAATTATATTCTAAAAACTATATAATATACTATTAACACCAAAATATATAATATCAAGCTAGTTATATTTAAGGTAAAATAGTTATTAATACTATTTAATTTAAAATTTAGTCAGTAAAAGATGTAATTCAGTTCTGTTCATCGAGAAATGGTTGAACCAAATAACTTCGTAGCCCGCTTTTAAAACGTTCCAAATTAAGATTATGGTCTTTTAGCCATTCTGGCAAACTGTTCCATAAACAAGAAGCTCGGTAGCGAAAAGAACGTTGTCCGGTCGCTGTTCTATATAAAGGTATTTCCAATAATTCGCTAGATCTTGTGTCCAAATTGTGTAATTGTGATCTTGTTTGGAACATACGACATAAATATGATGGGGCCATACCATTAACACATTTATAAGCCATTACTGTATCTCGGAATCGCAACATATAATTGACTGGTAACCAGTTAAGCTGTTTTAAAGATGGAGTGATATGATCGAATTTTTTTGTGCCCGTGACAATACGTGCTGCGAAATTCTGAACTTTTTGCAATTTTGCAATGTTTTTCTTCGATGAATTAGACCATATGGTTGAACAGTAATAGAGTTTACTAAAAACCAACGCGTTTATTAAAAGAATTAACGTCTTCATATCAAAAAGGTGCCTTGCTCTATTAATTTGATACAGGCAACCGACACAAGAGGAAACCAGTTTTGTGACGTGTTCATCGTACGTCAAACCACTATCCAGTGTCACGCCTAGATCAGTGGCTGAGGTCACAGGAAACAGTTTTTTCCCCAATAGTAAAATATGGAAATCTGCCGGTATCTGCATGTTTCAACATATAACGAGTTGCGAACACAAGTAATTTCGTCTTATTGGGATTAATAAGCAGACTATTTAGAGAACACCAAGAAACGACTCTCCGTAGATCTTCGTTAAGCTTAGCAGCCGCTGAGTCCACTTCATTGACGGAAAATGACAAAAGTAGCTTCGAGTCGTCGACGTAAGACTTCAAATTACCATTCTTTGGTACCATAGGTAAATCATTAATATATATGTTGAATAACATGGGACCGAGAATTGAGCCCTGCGGAACGCCATGATTGAGTGTGCGTGTTTCAGAGACGATCCAATGCGAACAACCTGCTGTCGTCCTGTCAAGTAACTTTTAAACCAACATAAAGCGTCATCGGACACTCCCAATACTTGGAGCTTTTTTAGAAGCAATACATGATCGATACTGTCAAATGCTTTAGAAAGGTCTAGTAGAATTACAGCTACGACCTCCTTGTCGTCCATAGACTTTAAGATCTTATCCGATATAAATAAATTCAATGTTTCAGTGGAGTGCAACTTCCTGTTTCCACTTTGGTGTACGCTTAAGCATTTCTTCTGTTCCACATATGCTGTAAATTGTTCCAAAACTACACGCTCGCTGATCTTTGATGCAGCAAGTAGCAAGGAAATTGGCCGATTATTTTTAGCAATTTCGTGATCCCCTTCTTTTAATAGGGGAATAACTTCTGACAACTTCCAGGCGCTGGGAAACAAAGATTCTCTTAAAGAGCAGTTAACAATATCCGTAAAAGGTTGAAGAATGTATGGTAAGGCATCTTTGATCACTTTCACAGAAACTTTATCTGGTCCAGGGGACTTATTGGATGGAAAGGAACACACAATTTTACGAATCACGTCACAGGACACAGGGTGAAAATGAAACTTGTGAATTTCTGCACTAAATTTATGTGGTATGTCTGGATGAGTCGATGTAAGACCATATGAAGTAATCAACGCTTTGGATTCTTCTGCCGCTTTTGCTCCGACTGAAGAAAAGTGTTCATTAAATTTGTTCGCTACTTCAACGACATTCCCAGAATAAGTTAAACGTGTTTTTTCATTCTAGGAATACATTCTCTTACAGTTTTCCAAAGGGAGTTGTTGTTGCTATTTTTATCATTAATTCTTTTATACACAAATTTTCTCTCGGATTCTCTCAATTTTCTTTTAATTTGATTTCTACATGAACGATATCTGTCCCAGTCCAAGGCCTGCAGGGTTTGGCGGGCAAGTTTATGCAGCGCATTTCTTTTTTTCATAAGTTGAACAATTTCCTGGTCAACAAAAGGGCACAAGCGACGTTTAATCTTAACAGTCTTTATCGGGGCATGCATATCTAATACACTTAGAAATTTCTGATTAAAAATGTCCAGTCGCTGGTTAACGCCCTGGTCAATTGGATTTTCTTGCCAAATCAGCTGTTCTAGATCATTTTTAAACGCTTCAGAAGAATAATTCTTAAAACTTCTTATGACCATGTAATCAGGTAATTTCTTAGGCAATTTAAGCTTTAATATTGAATAAACCAGAAAGTGGTCACTGATGTGCGTTTCTTCAACTCCACTTTCCACTACCAAGCTTGTGTTAGATGTTAAAATCACATCGATGAGAGATGAGGACTGCAAAGTCACCCTAGTTGGTTCCTTGATAAGTTGGAATAAATTCAAGCTGCTGCACAATTCGTTCAACGCATCAGATTCTGGACCACTTTTTAATAAGTTACAATTTAGATCACCCACTACGAATATATCTTTTTTCAAAGTAAGTGCATATGAATAGTTGGACATTCAGGAGGTCTATAAGCAACACATAGCACAATAGATTTCATTTTCTTATGTTGGATTAATATCCACAATTGATGAAAACCCATTGATGAAATTACAGATATATCCTTTATAATCTTTGTTTTCAGTGAGTTACGAGTAAAAACACAAACACAACCTCCACGTTTACCAAGGCGATCCAACCGCAACTGTAACCTTCAATTTCAACTTCTGAATTTTTTACTGTGGAATTAAGCCATGATTCCGATATCGTTAAAATGTCGTACTGATGTTCGCCATTAAGTTCCCTCAACTGGATCAAATTATCTCTATTTTTCAGAGATCTGACATTCAAATGAGCGAGCTTTAGTTTTGAATTTGAGTGATTATGATTATTTGCGTCTTTGTTAGGGAAGGACAGTCAATGGTTTTCTTATAATTTTTAAATACAATGCAGTTCTCTGCGTTATGTTGCTTATTACAAAACATTCCAGTAGAATAAACACTCTTCAAATTTAATGTACGTGTCGTAATTCTGACAGGTATCTGTTTTTCTACATCAAAGGAGGAGGATAAAGGGAAGGTTGGGGTGTGGGGTGGTATGTTGGGATCCGAAAAGGAGGAAAATAACAAGGATTCACAGGAAAAGGAGAATAGCGAAAAGCAGGTAAAAATGGGGATTGGCCCATTGGATTATGGAAGGGTCGTTGCATGTTGTTATGCGATTGGCGTTTTTGATGTGGGAAAGCTTGGCCCATTGAATTATGGTGGGGTCCTTGCATGTTACTATGAGATTGATGTTTTTGGTGTAGGAAATCACACGCAGGACCTTTTTTACAGAAACCTCTTTTCTTCAGGAATGGACAAGGGGTTAAATGTTTTGGGTATTTGGATGGCGCTCGAATGGAATGATCGATAACGGGTCCAGAGGCGTTGCTATTAGTGCTATTTTGATGTGGGAAAGGCTGGCCCATTGAATTATGGTGGAGTCCTTGCATGTCACTATGAAATAGACGTTTTTGGTGTAAGGAATCACACACAGGACCTTTTTTACAGAACCCTCTTTTCTTCAGGAATGGACAAGGGGTTAAATGTTTTGAGTATTTAGATGGCGCTCGATTGGAATGATCAGTAACAGATCCAGGGGCGTTGCTATTAGTTTCGTCCATTGTTGGTTTGGTTTTACTGCTTTTATCTAGTTTGGTTGCTTCGACTGATTTGCGGTTGTCAACAACCTCAATGTCCGAAACGCTAGGTTGATCGCTTACAGAAACGCTAGGTTGATCTTTTATTATAGTTACAGATTCATCGAGCGTACTAGATTCATTCAGTAAAAATGGTCCGCTGGTGTAGGAGGTATTTTTGTTAGGGTCGGTTGACTGATCTTTATCAATGGTCTCAGGATCATTAGAGATGGTAATTTTCATACTGTTTTTGGGATTGTTGAACATATAATTATTATTCATTACATTGAATATTGAACTCTCAAGGGACAGTAAGCTTGACGTGAGGAATAAATTTTCTTCGCTAAGTTTACAAATCGCGTCGTCTTGCTTGCGAATAACGGATTCAAAATCTTTTTGCTTAGATCGCATAGAGTTAACTTCCGATAACAGATTGCTTGTAATATCTACCAAACTTGCAAAATCCGCTTTCAGGTTCGCAAACTGCGACACAGATAGTTCATCAATACTGACACAAACATCCGGCACCGAAGGACAAATTACATCTGTAGCTTCGTGTGAAATGTTTACATTGCTCGGGCCCTGATCAATCAGACTTTCAAGCTTCGACTTTAGGTTTTCCTCGGCATTGTCACTCTGTATAATCAGCTTTTTTGAACGAGGACCATGCCATTTGATGACGAATTCCCCTTCTCCATCGCTTCTGAAAACTTTGACGTCTCCTCCAGGGGATTTCCACCTGCCTTTTATATTTAATGCTTCGTTGATAAAACACTTTAGGTCTTCAAAAGTTTTAAGCCATCGGTATGTTTCACCATCATATGTTAGACCACTGAGGTCGTTCATAGTTGATTGAACGACGTTATATTGTGAGTCTGTAAATATATTCACGTAATATATTGACGAGAGCTTATTTGGAAATTAAAACTATTAATAATTTTAACGTAACCAGTTTAAAATGGTTAAAATCAGATAAAATTTGTAAAATTTTGCAGAGCTTAAAATTTAGCACCCGCCATCTTTGACGTGCTTCCACATAAGCAGTTATATATGCTCGTGGAAGAGAAAGCTTGAGGAAAACTGAAGGAAAGGAGCAAATACGTTGGACGCTAAGAATCACCGGTAGGTTTGAGTATTACTTAATTTGTAATCGTGCATGATGCAATGTTGTCTAATAACATGTCTTATTTTAGATTAATCGATTGTTTGTTGTATTTAGAACTAATCAATTTCAAATATCAATTAGCTCACTAGCTATGGCTACGTCTGCAATGTATTGGATAGCTTTCCGTTGCGACGTGAAAAAAAAACACCTTTCCGTACCCTTTAGGACGCAACGAAGAGATGCGTGCATGGTGTTTCGCTTAGCGTTCTGAAAGTTGTACATTCCGTATCGGATAGGTGATTTTCACTATTTCTAAATACGATAATTAAGTTTGTAGCTACTTTATTAAGTAATACATATTTTTTTCATATTTATTTCAGTAATTTACATATCTGTTTCAACGCCCTGCCCACTGGTCTGGACGGGGTATCCGTATACTTATAGCGAGACGTTTGGGCTATCGCTCGATAGAACTGTTACGAGGCTTTATCTAGGTAGTGAATCGTTACAACTTTTCTAATTATTGTCACTAATGTTAATATTGGAATAGTTCTGCTTCAAAGTTCTCTCCTTTCTGCAGCCTTTCTTCA